ACACGACGCACGCAACAGTCCTCTCCACCTGTACACGACGCACGCAACGGTCCTCTCCACCTGTACACGACGCACGCAACGGTCCTCTCCACCTGTACACGACGCACGCAACGGTCCTCTCCACCTGTACACGACGCACGCAACGGTCCTCTCCACCTGTACACGACGCACGCAACGGTCCTCCCCACCTGTACACGATGCACGCAACTTCCCAGGTTATCGCACGCCTGCCACTCAGGTCTTGTTGGCGCCAACGTTGGTGTTATCGGTGAGGAAAGATGGTTTTCTGGATTGGCGTTTTGCTCACGTTATCTTATTTGCCGATTGTATTTGAATATCTTTTGTCCTCGGCGATTATATTTGAGAAATATTTGACAATTACCGAATATGTTTGAGCATACTCTGAATAATATAACCATATCACATTGATGGGAATTCCCATCGACTAGAGAGTAAGTGAATTAAACTGCTGAGTAATTAAGGTAAGGTAATCATCAGGGGAAAGCGCCAAGCCATTACGACTATATAGCACTTGGAAGGGGTCATTGTAATGATTTGGGATGGGACGGGGGTGAAAGGAATGGTGCCCAACCACTTGGGCGGTCGGGGATTGAACGCCGACCTGCATGAAGCGAGACCGTCGCTCTACCGTCCAGCCCAAGTGGTTGGTACTGAGTAATTAAACAACCATAAATTTCTAGGGTCCCGGGTTCGATTCTAGGGAGGGACGGAAATGGTTGGGCACGTTTCTTTTTGCCTAATGCCACACATGGTATACCAATTTCCATGCCCCAGTGGAGGTTGTGGCCTTCAGTCTACCTATATTGGTATGGCCACCACAAAGCTCTCGAGAAGACTGACCTGCCTGAGGGGCCTGGCAGCTGAGTGGACAGCGCTCGGGATTCGTAGTCCTGAGGTTCAGGGTTTGATCCCCGGTGGAGGCGGAAACAAATAGCCAGTTTCTTTCACCCTAATGCCCCTGTTCACGTAGCAGTAAATAGGTACCTGGGAGTTAGACAGCTGCGTCCTGGGGTGTGTAGCAAAAAGGAGGCCTGGTCGAGGACTGGGCCGCAGGGACACTTAAGCCCCGAAATCATCTCAAGATAACCCTCCCTATAAGCCACATGCAGTAATGAACATAACACGACACAAAGAACCTGATAGTAGGCAATACAAAAATCCTGTAAGGTATACTTGATGGATTAAAAGACCCACCTTTAAATATACAGAATAACGACTTAGCTTCCTTGCCAACACTCGGACCCAGACCTCACAAAACATCACCGGATAATGACATCTCTTGCGAGGTCTCTACCCACCGGAGCTTTCCCCCACTGCCTTACCCAATGTTTAATTGACCCTACCCCCTTTCCTCATGTTTGACTGGCCCTTCCTCTTTTCTCTATGTTTAATATCCCCCCCTATCCAATGAGATTGGATAGAGGGGATGTTTTACCATGAATTTTGATAACTTGATTGCTCTTCTAAATATTGATTCTATGAAAATAGTTATAATTATAGAAAGTTTACACTATAAGATTAATAACGACAGCAATGCGGTCATATTTAACTAAATCTGTTTAAAGGAATGCCTGTGTGCCAAATACACATACGCACAAATTATATATACGCCAACAAGCCTGAACGGTCTCCAGGCATATATGCCACTGAAAACTTACACCCCAGAAGTGACTCGAACCCATACTGCCAGAAGCAATGCAACTGATGTACAGGATCCCTTAACCACTCGACCAACACGACCGGACAAAAGAGGATGGTAGCCGAGGCTATTTCCATCCCCCTGCCGGCACTCGGTTGGTAATCTTGGGCATGGTATTTTATCAAATCACCAATATATATATGTAAATATATATATATATATATATATATATATATATATATATATATATATATATTACATTCTACCCACTTCTTCAAGATCCGGAACCAGCACAGCAGCAAGAAGATAAAACGCGCAATATACCCATTGATTCGTGTTCTGTTTCTTCCCATTGATTTGTGTCCTGTCACCTCACCCAAAAAACATTTGTGTCCTATCACCTTACCCAAAAACGAATATAAGCACAATCTGAGTATGTAAAATTGCAAGTTACAGCCCCACTCCTGTGCCAGGTAAGTCCTCTATGGGCTCACCATAGCCCGTGCTACTTGGAACTTTTTGTTCCCAGTAGCTGAATCTATAATAACAACAACAACATTTAAAATTGTTTTTGAAAATGTAAAAAGTGTCTTGCGAAACACTTCTAGGCATCAAACCATAAATAAAGTGTGAATATGAACTTTGGAGAGTTAATTTTTCAACTACCCCAAACAGTGAAAAAAACATAACACGCATTGAGAAGATTCGTGTTAGAATCATTAATCTTACCCTTTTGGTCATATTCAACATTATATATATATAAGAACCCAATTACCCGCAGGCCACAGAGTGCAGGTGAGCCGAGTGTACAAATCCTTGTTGGCATCCAGATAAAAAAAATGCAACAATTTAGGACTAATTAAATTAACAGAAGGTTATTAAATTCAGCTGCCCAAGGCATTAGATCTGCCAAGAGAAACTATGAAAGAAAACTTTCTCAAAACATTAAGAAAGATTCTGTCAAGACAAGAGACTTGGTAGGACGTTTAAAAGATGAGATAAGCAGAGTTATAACTGATGATAAAATGCACACAACAGTCGCAAGGAACACTTTACATCCGTGTTCACACTAGAAAGATTAAACGACATCCCCACACCCACACACGTTTGAAGCAGAGGAAGAGAATGAATTAAAGAGATATTCCCATAACGTGCGAAACAATCAGGAACATTTATAAATTAAAGACATCTAAAGCCCCAGGTGTGGATGGAATACAAACCAAAATCGTAAAGGCACTGGCCAAAGAACGATGTCAAACAACTAATTCAAAAAAATCTCTAAACCAAGGGAAAGTCCCCCAACAGAAAACTACCAACAATCAGCCTAACCTCTCATACCTCACATATCTTCAAGCTCATAAAGAGAATCCTAAGGAAGGTAATCATTCACCATCTCACAGCGCACAATCCAGTAAAATCAACACAACATTGTTTTCATACAAATACATCCTGCCTTACTAACATCTCACATATTTGGAGACGTTGTTCATATATTCAGACAAAGGACTTCCAGTAGACATAGTATTATACACGAACTTCTCTAAAGCTTTGGAAAAGGGTACCATATGAAACTCTGGCAAGGAAATTACAAGCACATGGAATAAATGTAAAATACTAGTATGGATAATAAATAAATAAAAATAAAATAATTTATAGATCGTCCTAAATTGAAATGAATGAGTGAAAATGTGGTGAGTTTGGTACTTTGATTCACACTGTGAAATATCTCGTATAGAATAGGGTAGCAGCACACGGATGTGTATACCTAATTTTGTTGAAATTGAAATTGAAATAAGTTTATTGAGGTAAAATACACACAAAGGGATGAGGTAGCTCAAGCTATTCTCACCCCGTTCAGTACATCGTGTTAATACATACATATAAACACATCACAAACAATAAACATATTACCAAACATTCTGAGAGATAAACATCTACATTTCCTTAATTTTGTTAATAATTATAAAACAAAGTACCGCAAGGTTCTATCTGGCCAGCCTTTTTGTCTTCACATCAGTGCCGTAGATGATAATATTGCAAACGACATCAGATTTGCAAAAACTAAGACCTATGGTAAAGTAGGCAGCCAAGACGATTCTGAGTTCTAGATAAACTTCACAAATGGTAAGATGTCTGGTAAATGATTTTCAATATTGAAAAAATGCAAGACTTTGCATGTAAATAATTATCAAAAGAAGGCATGCACCAAGCCGACCTTGCATGTAAGGCAAAACAATGCACATCACAACTATCATATCAACAACGCTACAATATAGCAGATTGATGAAACAAAGAACCTAAGAGTTTTGATTCACCAGACAATGAAAGCTGTACAGGCATAGTTGCACGAACCTTTGACTTCAAGGAAAAGAAAGTGGTTATTCAACTGTACTGTATTCAATTCTGGGACACCCAATGTTGTATCTTGCGAATGCACCAGATTTGACTACTTGGATTAGAGTAGTCTAAGTCTCCATGCTTGGACTGCTGTATCCGAGCATGGATACCTCACCCTCAAGAGGACATATCTGCAGTGAAGAAAGCACAACAGAGAGGACAAAAATAATCTCGGAACTAACTCAACTCTCATACCAAGAACGGTTGAGGACCACAGGACTGACAACACTGGTAGACATGACAGAGATGATTTCATCACGAAATAAAATACTGAACAAGTTCAAGGATATTAATCCAGGCTGCTTCTTTAACAGGTCAAAGGTAACACAAACAAGGGGCAACAGCTTCAAGCTCAACAAGCCACTAAGAAAACAGGAGATGCTTTTCACATATAGGGTTATAAATTCATGTTGTTGTTGTCTGGTTAGAGGCTACAACAGCTACAACGCAGGGCCATATGTACCCCGTCAATGCATAGAACTGCTTACCTGCCGAAGCCGTAAATTCAAGCTGAAAAAGTCCTCAGGAACATTAGGGGATCTTCGCCAAGCCGCCGACTTCGTGTCTTCATCGAGATCACCTGAGAAATGGTCGCCGTCAGGTAAACGACTATCCATATTAATTATTTATTAACTATATTGATATAATTTGAATGTTGACACCAAAAATGTAACCCAAAAAATATCATGCACATTTTATGAAAATATAAATAAAATAAATCACAATCTACCCTAATTATAGGCCAATATATAGCACTTAACTCTCGATTTGCCTTCAATCACAATTCAATTTCTTTCTTTATTATGCACCCGATACTCATCCCGTGGGCGGTGGTGTAAAGGATTACAGAGGCACAATCGGTTCAGGAACTGAACCCTCTAGTTCGTTTAGCTAAGCAAATAACAATCTTTTGACGCTAGTTACAAAATTATTAATGTTACATACATATGTACACACTCATACATACGAACCGTAGGCCGCCTCGCTGCTCTCTGCCTCTCTCTAGTACGAGGATACGTGGAGGGTGTCGTCTGCTGCTGCTGCCTCTGCTCCCTCTTGACCTCACACTAATAGTTTCTGTGGCGTTATCAGCCTCCGTACCTTCCCCTCGCTGCTGGTGAGTAGTGATCTGGGGCTCCCTCTCTACTAGGGTTATCTCGCCGTGTATTATATGTAGAGATATGGGAGGTAAATCTCGTCTAGGGCTCGGGAATGGTTGAGAGTAATAAGTTGTGGCCTCCGTGATGAACAGTTATGTGAAAGCATGAATTTTGTCTGCTGTTTGCAGGTGTTTTATATCATTATTGTACAGATTTTGAAGTATTTTGTATAGAGTACATAATTGCATCTCTTTCGAGAAAATTTGTTGACATCATTAATAATTCACAATATAATAATTCATTTTGTTCGGGGACAGGCAGCCTCTGTATGTACAGTATATGTTAGGCTTATATCATGGTCCTGCCCAAGGTGGAACTACTGACCTTGCCCAGTTTGAAACCCCATAACAGTTGACTAAACTCCCAGGTACCTAGGTACTGGTATGTGAACATTGGCATTAGGTGGAAGGAAACGTGCCCAACATGCCTGGGAATTGAACCCGGGATGCTCGATTGTGAGTCGAGAACGAACAAAACTTTACCGCGAAATCCTAGCCAGATTGTCAGGAAACCATGTTTACCTGAGTTTATCTGAGAGCTACTAACGCTAGTGGCCTCGACGAGAACAGGAAGCCGGTGACTTATCGAAGGTCTCCCATTTGCTTAAAAACACATGGATAGTACTGTATTCTCTTTTGATGCAAAGGTTTGTGTGAAAAATGTAACAAAGGTTTGAGTGGCAGGATAAACTATTGTACTTCATAGCCTTTATTATAGTGGATGTGAGGCTGTTTGCTCCGGTTACAAGACAAATAAATTTTTTTACAAGACTCATAGAGACAACTAACCAAACTTGGAGCAAAGTCGCCAGTCTCTGGACACTTTTATAAAAGTTATTAGTGTTCTCTCTTGAGTAAAAAAATCATACAGTAATTTGTTTATAAAAATACAGTACAGATGATTAGATTTCAGTAGGTTCATTATTTGTATATTTATTTTATAAAGTCACTAATTGTGCATAGCAATTAGTGCTGTAATCGTACATATACCCTATGTAATATTTTACATAAATAGATTGCCTTTATTACCGTATTTGACAGTGGAACTGTCATTATTTGGATCCCTGTTTTTGTGATTCTCAGATTATCCGGACAGGAATTTCTGGTTCTCTATCCACATTAACTAGAGCATGTCTAGAACTAATGATAGCTAGTGTCTTTTGTTGAATTCTCTGCATCAGACACATTTTTATTCCATATAATACAACAAGTGTGCATTCCCATTTAAACAACATCACAGGCAGTATTGCCACATTTCTGCTAAAATAAATACTGAAAATAACAAAGTTGCCAGAAAATAATTCTCGCTAACTTTTATTCGATTGCAGTACTGTACTGTATCCTGATTTCAGTTATTTAGTCATGAAGAGGTACCAGTTGGTCCATATAATCCAGGTCACACATTATTATTATTATTCTTACACAGAGAAATCACATTATTGTTTTGTGATATATCACTGAGAAAATCCACAGGAGCCGTGACAAGGATTCGAACCTATGCACTGGCTGTTCCCAGATGCACTCTCTAGTCAACCACACCACGAAATGATAAAAAAAGTGCAGTAGTACCCTAAGTTGCAATTCTTTTGACTATGTCGTGGTGTAGTCGAATAGAGCGTGCATCTGGGAACACTCGGTGCATAGGTTTGAATCCTCATCACGGCTCCTATTATTATTCTTACTGTATTACTATTATTATTACTGTACTGACCAAATATTTGCTTGTTATTTTGTGCAGTGCATCAAAGGTGTTTGTACTGCTGGACCAATGCAGCATACATTTTGCATACATTTGTCTTGTGGGTCACGTATCTTTATCACCTCTGCCCCCACCCCCCTGTTTTTTCAGATTGCATCTGCAATGCACTCTATGCATCTGCTTTTAAATTAAGAGTTCATATATAGTATAGAGTAATGTATAGTACCATTAAATTAAGTGCTATTTAAAAATATAGCATATTAACACTTAATTTACAAACTAAAATGACATTCAATTTAATGATCAATATGTATAAGGATTGACATTCTGCAGGGCGATTTGTCCTGGTATATTAAGTGAGCCCTCTCGGAGGACAATACATCCCAGGACGCAAGGCAGGGAAAACTAGATGATGGTCTTTGATAAAGCTACATAATTACTGTACTTAAAATCAAAGTGTTTAGCTGAAACTTGCTTTAAATCAATTGTGGTATATTACATACTTGTTTGTGCCTTTCTGTAAGGTTTGTTGAATGAGGCATTAATTAAATGTTTCTTTTCAGATCATTGGGAGTTGTAAGATAGATCATTCTGAGTGCATCAGAAGGTCCCTGTCTACTAATCTATACTGTAATTGCAATGAGTATGAAGAAAAAATGATATAATACTGTAGTTTTGACAAATAAGTATATTTTTATAGTACAGTATAAAAACTAGTTTTAGTTTTAGAACAAAGAAGTTTAAATATAAACAAATTTTAAGTGCTAGATGCTTCTTAGTGCTGAATGTATATTTATTAGGATCTGCGTGTATATACACTCGGCTTTTATCTTGTAATTAATGTAAGAATACATGGTAGTTTATTTACTTTTACATTTTTTATTTTGTTTACAATCAGTAGTATTGTAAATGATTGCCCTAAAAATGTTTCCAAGAAGAAATGCAAGATTATTGTCTATTGTTGGGTTTACCCTCTTAATTGCACTTATGCTATATAAAATTTCGGGCCCCCTAGATGGGCCAAAGAATTTGGAGTTAGAGCATGGAACTGAAAGAGCACAGATGAAAGCTGTCCATAATGAATTGCCTGGTCTTCTTACTCAGAGCCCAGAGCATCTTAAGAAACAGAAGGAGTATGAGAGCAGAATTATGGCTAATATCCAAAAAATGACTGCCCATAAAGAACTCAAGCGTAAGATGGATCATGACCCGGTGGGTATTATCTTGCACAAAAAACCAAGCCTTTTGGAGGGATTAGGAAGAGTTCGTGATTTAGAAGACCAGGACATAGCCGTACGGAAAAGTGTTGTGATGGAGAATCAGCTAAGACACAAAATTGTACACCTAGATTTAAAAGGGGCACCACCTAAAATTGAGTATCTTAAGAAGCTATTTCCACTTTTGCATACATTTGGTGCCACAGGACTGCTTTTGGAATATGAAGACATGTTTCCATACTGGGGCAAGCTTGAATTTTTATCAGCAGACAATGCTTATGCCAAAGGTGACATTGCAGATATTATGGAAATTGCCAAGAAAAATAGTCTGGAAATCATCCCTCTTGTACAGACCTTTGGTCACATGGAACATGTACTAAAGGGTAAAGAATTTGCAGAACTTCGTGAAGTGCCAAACTATCCTCAAGTCATTTGCCCAACAAACAATAAAACATTACCTCTTATTAAAATGATGATTGATCAGATTCTAGAGATGCACCCAGGAATTGATTGGTTACACATTGGTTCAGATGAGGTGTATAACCTTGGAGAATGTACCAGGTGCCAACAATACCTTCTCCATCAACAGTTTGGGAAAAACGATTTATTTCTACATCATGTGAAAAAAGTTGCCAAATATGTCAAAGAAAATTATGATATACAGCCTATAATGTGGGATGATGAGTTCCGAAAAATTCCTCTGAGGGCTATTCAGGACTCTCAAGTTGGACAGTTGTTGGAAATCATGGTATGGAAGTATAGTGCTGGTATTATGGTTGATCTTCGATCAGATATTTGGGAAAAATATTCAACGGTGTTCAATGGTATATGGATTGCAAGTGCTTTCAAGGGTGCTGCCAATCCTGAAAGTTACATGACAAATATCAATGATCGTCTTAGTAACCATAAAGAATGGATGGAAATATTTGATATGTATAAAAGTACCATTCCTTTCCGAGGCATTGTATTAACAGGATGGCAAAGATTTGATCATTTTGCAGTGTTATGTGAACTTTTTCCCCAGGCTATTCCTTCATTGGCAGTAAACTTAATGTATATCTCTGAAAGGAAAGCAGACCATGGTGCCTTGGCCAGAGTTGGAGATGTTCTCAAATGTAACTCATTTATCAACTTAGACCTACAGTATATGGAATATCCTAACAAGTGTGACTTTCCAGGTAGCGCAGTATATGAAGTATCACAGAAGCTTTTTATTTTGAAAAGAGACATTGACACCATGGTGAATAATCCTCATGTAACTGGATGGGTAACAAATTATAATATAGAGCATAACTTTGCTAGCCCCCAGCATGTTGAACAAGGACTTCAGGATCTCTCCATGCTCTTGTTTGACTTTACTAAATTAATGACTGATGCAGAAACTGCCTTGGCAGATGTATATGATGAGTACACTGTCAAAGAATGGATTTATTTGAATGTGAAACCAACTCATGACAAACTACAAAAATTGTATACATCTAGCACCAAACTTCAAGAAAAGAAATACTGGCCCAGAAGACCTCTTGAAGCTGAGCAAATCAAGGAACTATAACTTGAGAGTTTAGATGAGTATCATTCTGTAAATCATGCATAATTCTTTTGTGATTTGTATAAATCATTAATTTAGTGACATTAAACTTATTAGATTTAGTTGATCTCATCATTGTGATATTTGATTTAATGTTTTAGCAGACTGCAACCATTTACAGGTTGTTATTGTATACAGCACTGTATATTTTTTATGCTGTTAGACCTAGACATTTATTGAGCTGGATAGCTACTTTGTCTTAATCTTCAGTCTTTGTTTCTTATTTGGGGGGAAAGACATGATAAATTTAGAAACATTTGTTCCACCAATAACCCCCCATTGTTGTTGTTAAAGATTCGCTACCTGGAACAAAAAGTTCAAGTAACACGGGCTATGGCGAGCAACCCAATTAATGGTATCATAAACTTGTATCAATTATTTATTATGATTGCGTTAATATTTTGATCACAGTGTGTGTTGATATTTTGATCACAGTATGAAAGCATTTTCAATTTGCAAGGTTCACTGCTCTGTAAATAAAGGTCCATGGATCACTGCACTCTATGTATATAGGTGCATGGGAGACTGTATTAATTACATAGATTATGACTATATTATCATGTACATTCAGTATGAAAGTGTGTGTGATATTTATTGACTTTCTGTGCAGAGATACCAACTACTAGGTTCTGCATACTGGAAATAACTGTCTAACCTAATACAGGGTACTGTATTCATGTATTAGCCTAAGAACACAAGAAAGTAATGCATTGTTATGGCAGTGTTAGCTGGTAATGTTGTGGTGGCAGTAATTTGGATAACTTTGATGGCCATCTAAAGGGGCAGAACATACTGCTAACCTAGTGAGATAATGTTTCTTGATACCTTGTTTCCTTGATACAGTACCTGTTCTTGAGGGGTGGTTTTATCTACGAGTTTCTCCAGACATTTAAAATACATGTTAAGTATTAAACATACTCTTTGAATAAATACAACAAATATTTGTTGACATTTATATTATTGTTCAGCAGATAATCTGAGAAACTCACTTGCACTGTGAAACAAGAATATTGTACTGTATATGGAAAGAATGATGACTTTCTTTGACAAGCAGAAGCATTAAAGTACAAACAAGGGAAAAATAGGTAAGTAAGATAAGGAAACAGTACTGTGCAGCATCCACTGAAAGGATGAGATTTAAAAAAAATAGATTTTTATTGCAAGCTGCATGAGCAGCTAAATAGAGTGACCATACCCAAAGAAAATTACCTTGTTCCATTATTTGATAAGCATAAAATTGTAAATGGGTTCTGTTTTATTGGAAGCATATGTACCAATAAGCGGATACTCATTAGTAGAAGGAAATGTCAATATTATGGTGCTCTTAATTTCACTAGAGTGCAGGAATTTTTACACTATGGTTGATTGTGTCAAAATTGTTGTGCATTAAATGTGAGGAAAGTTGGAGAAAATAACCATTAGTGGTGGGAAATGGGTACCCCATTTGCCTTCCCTCATGGTAGTGCTTCCGTGAGCAACCAAGGCCAACTGGTCTGCTACATACCTAATGAAATGGATTTCAATGAATCTAGTCAAATATAACCTTAATAAACCAGAGTTCTCATATTACACAAATTTCTAGTGTGCTTACACTATCCAGTGATAAATATTGTTCAGTTAAACTTGTTTAAATTTAAAACAGTTTAAATTTTAAACCTTGTACAAGATATAAATAGTAGCCACTGCTTCTTCATCTCATTCTTAAATAATTAATGGTTTAATCAATATGGCATTAAATTACAGTGTAATGTAATTTTTGCATTGAATTATATTTTCTATGCAATGAATAAAAAGAATATATGGAGTGCAAATATTCACAAATTAATAGTGTTTTATGGGTTGATTCAGATTACAAAGCAAAAAAATTATCATTCACTGTGCAAATTTTAATGGCCACTTTGTAACTTTACAAACTTTTTTTTCTGTAAGCTCATATTTAATTTGTACAAAAGCAATATTGTGGGGTTTCAGTTACAGTGCTAAAACTTGCATGTTCTATGAATTAACAAATCCAAGATATGTAGTACTGTAGTATCACATATGTAAAATGTTGTTATTCTTTATAATAAAGAATATTATTCATGCTCAATACTTACTGTTGCAAAATTAAAGAATGTAAATAAACATAAGGTAATAAAGTAAATTTGTCAAGATGAAAATGAACCTTGTATGATTAGTACACTATTCAGCCTTTGTAGCTGTTGCCCAGTCAAAGTGCAAAGCATATAACATCTGAGCCCTTATGTGGTCATTTGTATGATCATCCAAATCCTTAATTTAATAATAAAGTGTACAAATGTTTGTGTGATAATAGTTTTTGTGCTGAGTAGACTGAGAATATCTTTCATTATGGAATGATTTTACAGTTCCTGGCTATGGTTTCCATAGCCAGGGACAGGAAGCCTGTTAGACTTATCAAGGTCTCCCTAAGCCACTGATAGGTAAGTACCCAATTACTCATTTATTGCTAGATGAACAGTTGCATCAGGGGAAAGGAAAGGTTGCCCAAATGCTACCTGTTGTGCCGTGGAAATTGAACCTGGAACCTTGACCATGTTAAGGTTATTTTGTGAGTTTACCACAGGATAGTTTTAAAAGATTTATCATAGGAGACCTGGAATCTCATTTATTTATTAAGTTTTATTCGATATTGTACTGCAACTCAAAAATTATATTGATGGTATGTGTATTCACCTAGTTGTGCTTGCAGGGGTTGAGCTCGGCTCTTTCAGCCTGCCTCTTAACTGTCAATCAATCAACCGATTTGTTTTTCCCCACACATTTGGTGTATTTGTTGCATAGCTTTTAAGATGGGGTAATATAGCCATCATCAAGGTTTATACATGGTAGAAATGGGCAAAAAATTTGTCCAACTTTGGTAATTCATTTTGGCATTTTCATTATCAGGTTTGTATTTCTACTTTTTTACCTCTAATAATTAGGATGTTTGTATAATACTAGTACTATTCAGTACAGCATAGCTACTTAAATTAATATTTTTGTAATATTGTGTAAATTTTATATTTACACGGGCTTTTGTGCTTTTTCCTGGTACTTTATTTACTTTACCTCTTCAGTTTTTTTATTTACAACAGTTAAGATGGATTTACTTAATAAAATATTTTAATACCTCAATGATCAGGTGTGAGGGAAGGTTGAGCTGTCCTGAACTCTTCTAGTTATTACCAAAACATCAATTTCATTTCTTTGATGTGTGGGTTGGATTGTTTCTTCAGTCAGATCATTGTGACTTACTCTTCGGCATAACGGCTTATAAAATTAAGCAAGCAGGCGACAGTGGTCTCCTGAAACATCATCAGTTTCATTTATTTTTATATGTAGTGGTTGAGTTATATAAAGACCGTTTTACTGTTCATACACTCGATAGTTAATATCACAAAGTATATTCATCTTGTGTAATAATAATTTATTTACAAGAATTTACATCAGTTGTGACTTGTGTAATTGCATAAGCAGTATGCTTAGATTTAATAAACTACCGGTAATTGATTGATTGATTGTAGTGTGTTAATATTTACAACTTGGTAATGTAATAACATGCAGATATTCTGGTACAATACTATACACTATATAGGATCTGAAAATGCCTAAAATTTGCAAATGGTTTTAGACAACCATTTTGAATACTCAACTGCGCTAATTGGTTTACTGATGGAATATATGGTAAAATGTATATTTGCTTCTCTAATACAGGTACTTGCTTCTCATCTAAAAAATGTATAGTAATAAATAATTTGTAATATTTTTATGCATTTTTTTTATAAATTTTAATTATTTATTTGTTTGCTTGCTTGTGATTTTTCTATCCTTGTACAATATATTTGTGTATTTTTTTTTTTTTATTTATATATACAAGAGTTGTTACATTCTTGTACAGCCACTAGTACGCGTAGCGTTTCTGGCAGATCCCTGGAATATAATCCCTGCCGCGAAGAATCGTTTTTACAACCAAATACACATTTTACTGTTGAGTTAAACAGAGGCTACAGGTAAGGATTTGCTCCCAGTAAATGCTCTCCGGCCAGGATACGAACCAATGACAGCGCTCGCGGAACGCCAGGCGAGTGTCTTGCCACTTCACCACGGAGACTGGTCTCTATGTGCAGATGTTTTCAAGTTTGGTATCATAAAATTCAACTGGGGTGATAAATGTATTAATTAAATGTCAAGAAGCATTTACCTTTTAGTGGAGCAAGGGTTGAGGCATTAATGATAATTTAGGTCTTACTGAAAGTGCAGAAATATGTGGTAAATGACAATTCTGGTTGAAATGGTTTCAGGTGCACTCATGGATGTTGAAGGTTTAAATGTAAGGTTTTATACAGTATTTAGTATGTTACATGAGGGGTAGCTGTAAGGAAAGTTTCTTTATAAAACAAGGAACATACTTCCTGATTTAGCTTGAAAATGTGCTTAGCCAAGCATAGTATGCTTTTTGAAAGATTTTTCACGATTATTTATCTTTCGATGTTGTTGCTTATACTGTACATTTAAACAAATAAATGTTAGGTGCTGTTAAATTTAAGCAATTGAGGTATGTAACAGCATATTTAATGTAACCCAAATGTTGAAAATAATAAACAATGTCGAGAAGAAATACACATTTGAATTTAATGTTCCATTTATACCACTTGATATCTTTGCTCTGACAACTTTTCTCCAAGGTAGCAGCCATGGCAGGAGACATACAAGTAGTCTCATCTTAATGAAATTTAGCTTTTCATGTTCACTTTGTTCCATTATGAGGCCTGGCTGTATGTATATACAGTACCTGTATTACAACCTTGATTAAACGAACTGTATGGGACCATACCAATTCATTGCAACCGGAGATGCTTCCAGGATGCATTTCCTACGCACTATCAGCTAGTTTCACTTGGTAATTTTTTTTATATTAATCTATAATATAATAGACAACTAAATGAACACATCTGCAAAAAAAAATGTAACCACATCTAGCTCATTCTCACATCCACATCCTTAAAACTCATTTACAAATTGTAGCAGGGCCATACCTTGAGATGGTTTCGGGGATTAGCGTCCCCACTGCCCGGTCCTCAACCAGGCCTCCAGCCTGATCAGTTTTGTAATTCCTTGTCAGGCATACCTGACTGAACAAAAAAAACCTTGCCAACTCAAAATGAAAACAAACCATAAAATTTGGCTTTTCAATAGCTTTCCCCAAGGCTCCAACTGTTTCTCATAATGTTGATTCCACCTACAAAAATCATCAAAAATGTGATTGCAGCCATATTAAGAGAGCTACCATTCATACCCTAATATTTTCCCCTACTCCATTGGCTGATGTCACAGCAAAATTTTAATTTCAGCTTGTCATGTGAAGGACAACTACCAAAAGAACCTGTCGGTAAAGGAATTTAACTATATCTACCATATTTCCCCACAAAAATATTGGTCAAGTTTCAAAGGAAAAGGGACCAATATTTGTGAATGAAAACTGGGGAATCTTAAATTTAAAATGAATCATAGAATTTGGTAATAAATATGCTCAATGGCTTTCCTAAAGGCCCCTTACTATTTCTTGGAATGTTGTGCCCATCTATACAAATCATTAAAAAAAAGTGATACCATTCATACCTAATATATCACAGGCTCTATGGGCTGATTTCATTAAGTGAAATTATAAATTTAATCTGTCTTCTGGAGGGCAATAACCAAGAGAACCTTGCCTGTAAAGAGTTAACCACATTTAACAAATTTCTCACGCCCAAGGTCTTGAAATCTAATTTTCAAAGGAAAAAGGTCCCATATTTTACTGAACAAAAACCTCTGCAACTGGAAATAAAAAAGATGCAGAGAATTTAGTTTTAAATATGCTCAGTGGCTTTCCCAAGGCCTCAGCTGTTTCTAGTAATGTTGCCTCCATCTTTGTGCTCAGTCTTAACATCATAAGCAAATTCACACATTCCCCCACTTCTTGTTAGTCAAATCGGGTAAGTAAATTTGGAATGGAAAGCGTGTTCCAGCCGAAGTTTCACTATATTGTAATTGAGCATTTTCCCTTTCCAGTGATACTAGTTGCCTACTCATGCCTCTTGATCCCTGGCAAATTATTTCTAACACCCATTTCCACTGTCTTGGCTGTGTACATTGCTACATTGTCACAATGGCTTATCACTTAATCCTCATAATTATAGTATCTTAATTTACCTGAGGGCCACTAACACCAGTGGTTTCGACGAGGATAGGAACCTGGTGGATTGTCGAAGGTCCCCCCCCATTTGCTTGAAATTATCTGATTACACAATATTGCAGTGTAATCCAGATGCAGGACCCTACATCTGGTCCTGTAAATGCCCCACACCCCAAGCAAACAAAGCAGGTTGGTAAAGCCAGCCAGATGGCAGCCAGCATAAGGCACACCACAGACTAAATTTTGCTTTGGAGAGTTACTGCTCTTACTAGTGAATTTACCACCATAACAGCATTTACAACACCCCCAGTAGGAAGAAAAATTGCTTAGTTGTTCATTGTCATATGTACCAAGCTGGAACAACCCTCAAGTTAATTATGCTATTCTGCAGGTGCAAAGTGGGAACATTTTTTTAATAGTACAGGTGTCTATATTTGACCAAAAGTGTTTCCTTAACTCAATGTGGAATTTATTATACTACACATATGTAATTCTAATACTGTAATAAGTAGGCGGTCTTTAAAGTAGTGATCCAGATGCTATTTCTTCTTCATGCTGCAGATTTTGCCCAGCTGTCATTTCCATCTCAAATTTCCATGGATACTTGTATTTAAGACGAATTCTTGCTATTATAGATTCTCTCCATCAGTCACCTTCTCGTCATTCATACTGATTGAGGCCGTTGGCTGTAACTGCATTGTACCAGCGTACAGATTCATTGTCTTACTCTTCTATCCTTCTTTCCACAGTTACCATGTCTAATGCTATTGTCTAATGCATTATCTGTTTTGTAAAAGGGTCTTTAGGATACATGTAGTCTTCTTCAGGACCCTAAGCAGACATTGCATCTGCCCACATATTTCCACTGATTCCAGTATGAGGGAAAATCCACAAGAACTGCATAACCCTTCCCTGATTGGATATAATTTTCAAAGTTCTTGATTTCAACCGCTGTCTACTTTCTACTACTCTCGAAAGCCAGTTTTCTGACTGTCTTTTTCTAAGGCTTTGTAATGCCACTCTTGAGTCGGTGACCTACCAGGGCCTATCTTCCAGATTTATATAACTGATCTCCCAAAGGGAAGACATTCTTAGTGTCTTTTGCTGACATCAAAATTATAAGATGGAAACTTAAAGCTTGATAAACCGAGAAAAATCCAAAAAGTGGTTACCTGGTATCTAATGACTCGGCAAGCCCCAAGTAATGAAGCTGGGTGTTAGGAATAAGCCAGACACAAGGTGCCTAATGGAAGAGGAAACCCTGATGGAACTGAATAGGGTGTACCTACCTGCTGGAGTATACACAGAGGCGAGCTAAAACTTCCCTGCCCGAGTGGCTATATGAGCAAAGATCTTGTAATTACATTACATTGGTAAAATAAATTGATCTTAGTCATCAGATATAAAAATTTAGAGAACATAAAACATTTTAGGTACTGGAAAAGAAACCCTTTCACTATATTTATCAATATATTAATCACCATAGGTATTCAAATAAAATAAAATATTTAAACATTTATGATTACAAAAATCTTAGTTTAATAAAGAAAGGTTTGTACATGGCAGATGTGATTGGAAGCTAAGAGCAGTTGTGTACCCAGCAAAATATTAATAAGCTCTCATCTTTCTTATTATCACCAAAGCTTTTTTTTGATCACAATTTACTCTTGAAAATACAGAAGTCAACCCTGTGTTTTTCAGTTACGTATGTATAGCTCTCTCAACTAGAAAAACAGGAGGCTTGAAAAACTTATAATATGCTAGTGCTCTTTTTTTTTGTTACACATACATGACTATATAAATTTAAATTTTGGTAATTTTTTATTAACAACCGACAGCAATTTATCAACACAAAAGCAAATAAATAAGTAAGTAATCAAATTAAGACTAGAAAATAATATTTTTCTTAAAGCTGAAAGCTTTCTTAATTTCTTGAATGAAGAGCAAAGTTTTGTGCTTATATTACGAGAGGTAAACAAAATATTGAAACCTAAGATTTTGGGAAGTAGCTTGATGCTCCAGGCTTTCTCTGACTTTCTGACTTTCTACTTTCTCTTACTGATGGTCTTCCTCCTCCTCCTCCTCTTGCTCCTCTGTTGCTTCCTCCCCTCTTTGTCCCGGCTGCCCCTCCTCTTTTGTCCAATGCTCTATAAAAAAAAATAAATAAAAATAAATCTAGCTTTGAATGTAACAAAATGCCTCTTACTAGTGGGTCCTCTCTCAATGGCTTTCTGAGCTAGCCCTCCCAGAAATATAAAAAACAGTAAAAGTATATAATGTTTATTAAACTATTCATCAAAATATAACTGGTGAGTTGGAAATGCAATACGGTATCTGGAGCTGGATAATTGTATATGTTAACTTTTATGTTATAGGCTCCTTCTTTTCCTGAAGTTGCTCAACCTGGATTGAAAATACTGTATGTTCCACGCAATTATGATATAAACATTTCAATATGCAATGCAATATTCATTTTTCATTCACAAAAAGAGTATAAACATTCTTATACAGGAAGCAAGTGGGATCTTGATTAATCATTACACTTGTGTATAACCAAAACTACTTTTTTTGAATCTGTATAAATTTGTTTATTTCCATACAGAATTCTGAGAGTAGACTGAAAATAGTGTAATATTTATTGCAATACCTATAATAGTATTCACGTGAGCGTTGTGACCCAAAAGAGCAAAAGGTGTGAGAGAAAGCTGTCAAGATCTAAAATTTTCATAACATTTTTTAACAAGGAAGTAAGGTAGGACCTGAAGTGTTTAGATTAGGCAACTTCAAAAGATAAGACACTTTTGAAGTTGATCTGACTCTCTGGAAGAAGACTTAACCCCAAATTGCAGGTGACCTAACACTATTATAGCTTATACTGTAGATGAATGGTGGCATTACAACACATTCAAAGATATGCTACTTAATGCTCAAGAACATAATACTTCTGTATGTCTTAAGCACTTAGGTCAAACAATAATGATCTAAATAAGATTAACTTAAAGGATCTTTCGGAATGGAATAAAACCCAGCGTTGAATGTAATGAAACACCAATTTCTGGGTGAGCCCCGGAGGCTCCCTGAAGCTATCGGGCTAATATGCGATATACTGTATTAGACTAGGCCATTAGTCAATGGAGATCAACCTACTGGGGACCACGAGCCAGAGCTCCCTGGCCCCCTCAGAGAGGTGCAGGGAGCAATGGCCCCTGGAAAAAACCCTGTGGTTCTTCTGTTCATTGCCATCAAAACAGTATACATGGTCCTATAGTCATACAAGGCAGACCCCCTACCAAGCACAGAACAAAAATAAAAGAAAACCCCTGCAAAAGTACAACGTCCCCAGAGGAAATAGGAACTGGCTGCTGCATAGGTAAGCTGGCTGTGCAACACCTTGATGCCCCAACCTGCAACAATACCACTCTCTACCCAAGGCTAAACAAGGGCCACGAAACCCCAGCTGACCCCAATCTTGAAGTTATCTTGAGATGATTTTGGGGCTTAACGTCCCCTTTGGCCTGGTCTTTGACCAGGCCTCCTTTTTGTTACACACACACCCTTTTGAAGCAGCCCATAGCAGTTGTCTAACTCCCAGGTATCTCTTTACTGCTAGGTGAACAGGGGTATCAGGGTGAAAGGAACTCTACCCATTTGTTTCCGTCTCCACCGGGGATCGAACCCGGAACTTCAGGACTACAAATCCGAAGCGCTGTCAACTCAGCTGTCTAGCCCCAAGGACAGGGTAAATGCCGAGCAGGAAAAACCCCTACAGAGATGACGTCCCGAAGGCACAAGGGAAGAAAATCCTAGCATCCAGAGGTAGTAGTCACGGGGCGCTTTGGGAAGGCTGCCCCTACGCGCATGCATCCCCGGTACACTTATTACACCTGACCACCACAAAACTATGTTGCAGAGACACCAATAAGGCAAAACACTGCCAAGAAACCAAGGCCAGAGTTGAAGACTGCCCTAGATCGCATCAGTCAATTAACTGGAGTTGCTGAGTAGCTAGCATGGAGGGTCTGGGGCTCCCCCTTTCCCTTTCAGGGAGGGGAGGGCTGCACAGACAAGCGGCGAGGTGTGACGTTTGCTTGGGATTTGGGAGAGTTCTGCCTCTGTTCGGTTTTTGGTTGCAATTTTCTTACCATGTGGGGGTTTGTTTTGTTATGCCTACCTTTCTGGGTGCACAACCCCAGTTGATAGCAGATCAGGACAACCCCCAACCACAGGGGGATTTAACATGGGCCATTGCTCCCTGTGCCTCTCTGAGGGGGCCAGGTTTTGGCTCGTGGTTCCCAGTAGGCTGAACTCCACTGAATAATGCCCTAGTCTAATTACTGTATAGCGCATATTAGCCCAATAGCTCCAGGGAGCCGAAAGGGCTACCCCACAGAAAAGACTCCATCTGGAATAAACGAAGCCTTTATAACAATTAAAAACAAATATGAGAGAATGACAGAGAGAAAGAAGAGTAATTAGTTAAATTCTATACTACTTTCTGTGCTCACTGTATAATACATTTAATTAGAAAGGATGTTTTCCAATTTTTCCAATCTGAAGAACTAGGGTCAACCTTTACACGAAGCTTTAAAAAATAAAGTGTATATATGTATATGTATGTATACACACACACACACAGTATATGGTAATAAATAAATTTCACCAATGTTTAGCATCACTAACCTTGTATTTTTGTTAAGCTCCATTGGGTCCGAGTCAGGGGGTGATCTACTGCAATAATTTGCTCGAAGTAGTCCTTGCACTGGAACACTTGCTGGATTAGTTGGTTCAAAGTATTTGGGATCCAGCCCTTCCATGCTAAATTCAAAGACAGTACCATTAACAAAAACTTTATAAATACAATTTCCGAGAAAACAATATCTTAATACTTTGTATAGGTTCACTGTACAACTTACTTTTCTTTGTCAGCTGGAGATTGATTCTTGCCAGTGAGGGCATCATGTGAGCTGCGAGGGCTAATCACCTCTGGTATGGGTGGGATGTTGCCAAAATTTCGAAAAGAACTCTGAAGTATCAATAATTATGTTAATGTTGATAAGAAGAAGTTAATATGTTGCTACTGTACATAGTAATGCAACACTCACTAAATACTCCATGACATAAAATGGAGAGATGAGTGTATGAAATAATCTTTCTCTGAGCTGGTACCAAGGCTGCTGCTGCAGCCACAGGCCGTATGGTCCACTCAGGACACCATTCATTGCCAGGCTCTATGCAACTTAACACCTCACTGTGACACATTTTAGATAAGTTTGCCCTGTATATAATTTGGGAAGGGAGACAACAGTCTATCTCTATCCACTAACTATTAAAACATCCCACTCTCTTAACACTTCAAGCATTATTTAATTAGAAATCCTAAAAATACAAATTTTTGCTCTGCAAACTAAAAAAAAAAAAAAAACCTGCCCTGACCAACAGGTGACAGCACAGACAGCCACCATAGTTTACAACAGTGTTGCACATCACTGGGATGGGGCTTGATATCCAGTACAGTAAGAGCTTGGTAATTCAGACTCTGATACCTACCTACCTGTTGAGGGTAGATAGGTACCAGATTTCGAGTAATCTGAATGAATTCATGCTCAAGTTTTCTATCCAATTTGACCTTTTAACTTTATTCGAGTCTCTCATTTGAATGCGAGACTCGAATAGATTTGAGCTAGAGTCTTGGCTTTTCAACTCGAATAGAAATTTGAGTTACCGAGATGCTGAAGTGAGAAGTCTAAATCAATTTGAATGTTAATCTTTGGGTATTTCTGGTGAAAAATTAGCCAACTCGAATGAGGGTGAGCCCCACATGATTCGCTTACCAAGCATAGACAATACAGTAATCTGTACTATCCCCCAGAAGCAATTATGAGGCAAGACCATTTTGAAAGTCTTCATCATAACAGGGTCTAAAGTTGCATACGAACCTGGCAGTGAATGATGTCCTGTGTGGATAATGTTGATATGGGAGTAACAGGGAGCCTTAGATCAGAAAAATGGCAAAAGGGCAATTACCTTCATGCAATCAAACTGATATTTAAATCACAGCAAACAATTTCTGACCATTCGATCTCGAGTTGAATTGGGTTGCACCCTAGTGAATTTCCATTGTATATTGATACTATATACTGCAATATGGCATCAGCTGATACAGTACTGCAATTTAATGATTTACTATTTTAAATTTATTAAAACAAAAATTTATAATGAAGAATTTAGTGTTAATGAGATTACAAACCAAATTACCAAATTAGGAGTAGTTTGTCCTAACCACCCACCACTGGCTGTGGGAAATGATTTTAGTGTGTTTGAAACAGGTGTGGAATGTGCCACAAGCCCTGATGGGCCTCCTGATGTGAAGCGAGAGCCTTGTTGTCTTATTGCATGAGTGGACGGTCCTTGTGATGCAAGATATGCTTCGGAAAGAGGTGCACGCTTCGCCATTGCTCCTGTTACTTCGACTTCGTTAAGTTGCTTGTTGAGCCAAGAGATGACTGTGGCAAATAAATGCTGTCATCAGACTCAAAAGTATGTTACCGTAAATCTGGAAATTCTTAAATTTCTGCAAATTTTAAAATGAAACTAAAAAGTGATCATGTATTAACAAAAATCACTAAGGGTAAACAATCCATTATATCACTGAATGAAGAATTTAGTGAGTAAATGTGTTCTCATTCTCTCTAAACCTTGTGTTCTTATAACATTTATCACAATACTTGCTATTTAAGGATAAATGAACCTCTTACACTGAAATGGCTCATGTAATTAATTCAAATGTTACAAAAGACAGATAAAATTCAGTTAAGTTACTCTCATTACATTTTAAATGCCTTAATATGAAATGGCTCTCCCCAAGAACTTACAATATCCATCAAAGTAACAGCTATTTACTTGACAAATGCATCTATTAATCATGCTGAAGTTTGCAATGGTGTTATACCACAAATTCATTCTTAAGGATTAATGCAGGACACGACTTGGAATCCAAGATGCCAATTAATTCAAGGTATGTAAGAGTCTCAACGAGGATATCTTCAGCCCACAAGTGAAAGAACCTAATTGTCAGCATGTGTTTGTGGCCTGGGTCTTGCCACCCACCAAGATTGTAAAAGGATTGAAAGATAGCACAGCATTTAACGATGTTCATAAACCCGAAAGGTATGAAACTCAAGGGTTCACATTAGAGCAATACTGTACATATTTGCCAGATTCACCACACATGAAGGAGAATTTGGTTATATGATTCTGAGATTTAACATTACTATACAGTAGTGATGAATTGCAGAACAAATTTCATCAAATTTTACCATTTTCATTTGTCTGAAGTGTCTTTTCCTGTTCCTGTAACTTTTCTTTTGCTTCATGTAACTGTTGCTGGAGACTTTCCCTGTCTATAGTGAGCTGAGAGACTTTGGTTGTCATCAGCTGAAGTTGCTCATTCAATTGTAAAACACTGCTGTCCTTCTCTGCTACTACCTTGTCCTGCTCCATGAGGGCTGCTCCTCGAACTTTACTCTGTCGAAGAAATAACAAAGGAAACGAATACTGTAATAGCATTTATTTACTCCACTCCTGATTCTACATGGGTATTCATTTCTCGATACAATGTGTACATTCATATCATATAGGGTTTTATTAAGGATCTTGTGGGAAAAATGACTAATTCCAAAACCAAAAATTTTGTTACATAAAAATAGATCTTTAAGTGAATATGAAAAGCTCACTTTATAGGTAAAGTATTTGGTTGCTTTTAAAATGAAATCCAATGAATCTTCTGGGAAAAAGATCATAGGCCAGCCATGTATAAGACATTATAAAAATCAGTACACAAAAAACTATTAAAATGGTCCTTGCAGGGGACATACAAGGACCTGCAGTAATTGAACAAATATGAAACATGTATGCCTACATTCATTCATACATATATTATATGCTTATATAATGCTTTCAATATATATATAAGAAAGCTTAGATTGCCTGTACACTATGAATACTTCTGACTTTTCTTCTGATCCTAACCTTCAAAATGTGCCATGGACACAGTAGGAAGAATGAGAGAAGCTGGTGGTTTGGGGACCCTATTGTGGTGACAGTGCTGCCATCTGTTGGCAACCAGGGTAACTAGGTCTCCAGACAACTCTTACAAGGGTTGCAGGTGTATGGAAAGCATTTCTTTATAATTCTTGTCTATTTGAGCATATCTCTAGTATCTCTTGTTATAATTGCTGTCTAATTCAGGCTTTTTCCCACATCAAAAGTCATTTGTATCTGCCACACAAACATGCTAGACAGTACACAGAATAATTTTATGTGGAGAAGGTGCTAGTTGCGTGATTTTGGCATATTTTCTATTTTTAGAAATTCAATTGGAAAGCCTGAGACTAAATATTCTTCCAAATGGCCCCCTTCCCCCCCGAGTTCACCTGCAGGTGGCAGATTTCCACCTGGGGCAATGACACCAGCATACACAAGATACAATGAGAAACACGATTAGCAGGAGAGGTGAGCAGTAGCCAATCAGCAGGTGACCTAGAGTTACATCACGGACAAGCCAGGTAGATGAATCAGTGACTGGGGCTCATGATGGGGACTATTCTTTCAAAGACACTCAAAGGAGGGCTCCAAGATTTCGCGAGATTCGCGTTCGTACCCAGTATAGTCAAGTTGAGCTTCAAAAAGTTGGCAAGATACCTCTGCTTACGTGAGGAGCTACCGAATACCTCAGTGAAAGAGGAAATTACATTGAAGGAGGCTGTGGAATTACAACTTGTGCAGGAGAATTCAGTGAGAGTCACTCCACAGCCTAGTGCAGTGACCCAAGACAACATCCACAAGTGTAAGAAGGCAGTGGTTGTGCAGAGCCAACCTCCCATCATCGAAACAGTCCTGACTTGGTGAACAGGTCTGTGAATCAATGACCAATGACATTTTGTACCTAGTGCGGGTGGCCAAGCACATATGACACCAGGATAGACAACGTGACTAGTAATATTGAGCACCGCCAAGTTGCAGACCATGAACCAACAGTAGTGTTGACGGTGTCACCAAAGAGAGACTTGAGCCAGAGAAGGTCAAGTGATTTTGGGGGTAGCCTAGCCTCTCTAGTTTGTTTGGCAGTTGCTTTGAGAGCAGCTAGTGAGAAAAAGCCTATTCAGTACACTAGATGAAGTGGCATGTGCCTCATTAGTGAAGTAATAGAGACATAGCCCTCTGTGAGGCAGTCACCGATATACATGCCCCATCACACTTGTCACTCTACTCTACCACCCTCCGGAGACTCTGGTAGTCCTTGGGGGAGCTGCTAGAGTCCCTGTTATTTTTGAGTGACAAAGGGGAAAAGTGTTGGCTTGAACAGTCCTCAGTATGGGTGAGGAAGCCATTTAAGAGAGGATTCCACAACACACACTAGTACTTTTATTAACCCTGTAGAGACAGCTTGTAAAGATGTCTGTGGCACCAGTGCAGAGAAGGTCACTTGACTGTCATGATTCCTTGCCTAGACGACACAAAGATTTAAAGAATCTTACCTTAAGTGGTAACTGAATGCAGTAGCTCATTAAAAAATATTTTGGGGCTTCTCCCCTATAACTCTTACTCACTGTCATGTGCTCTTCTTTGACTCTCTTTTGCAGCTTCTTGATAACATCCAGGCTCTTCTGTAATTCAGCATACAGCAACTGGATAGAATTTTCTCGCTTTATTAACTTTTGCCGTCGTTCCTCCACAGTCTCTTCTAAACTTCCCTATAGCAATAATAATAGCAAACAACAAGTTAATTTGGGAACTTCTTAAATAATATAGGTGACAAAATCTAAAAATGTTCATTAGGATAATATTAAAAATAATTGACTAACCTTTTGCTGTTGCAGTGATTCTGCCATTTGTTGAAGGTGAGCCAAATGTGTGCCTTGGCTTCGTAAATCCGCTTCAAGATGAGACACAGTCGATTCCAATTCTCGTACTGAACATCAGAGAACAAAACCATTGCAAAATATTATTAAGAACAAATTAAGAAATACAATAATGGTATCTACTAATTTAACACAACAAGTCTGGCTCCTAGTGTACAGGAGCTTTTCTGAACAGTACACTCAATTGAGCCCCTAACACCAGATCATACTCATCACTGATCAAGATCATTCAGTCAGGGCAGGTTGACATTCTGCACTTCTGCATTGGCACAGCAGCTCTACCAGTATGATCTGATAGACCCATTTAAAAAAGTTCCCACTTCACACTAGTGGGGAATGTCTACCTGCCCTAAAAAAAAAAAGAGATGTCATTTTGGAACAAGAAAGCTAGAAAGAGGCTCAGCATACTTATTATCATTTTCATTATTACTGCCTCCTTTCTCTTTCATAAAATAATGAACATATAAAGTCACGACAACAATAAAACATACAGTACTGTACTAACCTGTAGCACTTTTGGTATGGTTTTCTTGCTCAAGGTGTGCATTTTGTTTTTTAATGTGGTTAAGTTCCTGCCGACATCGGTGTAAGTTTTCTTCGGCACTATTTAATCTTCTTTGCAGCTCTCTGTATGTTACACAATATATTTGTGAATCAATTAAAATCTAAAACTTTCCTTCAATTTTTGTTACTTTGCTCAATATTATTATTCAGTATGAAGTTTTATTACAGTTTCTTAATGTAATACAGTAATACCATGTATAAAAACTTTACCAAGGTATTTTAGAATTTTTCATAAGGAAACTTAATGTACCTATAAACAGTATCTCCATGTTCAAGTAGCCTTTAATCTGCAAATCCAGTCAAAACATATTCTACTACATAATTTAGGGTTTGATACTAAATTTAAAAAAATTGTTTGAGGAGAGATTTATAGGCAAGAATCTGTATGTGTTGGTTAGTGAGATTCGTCCAACCAAGAGATATTAGTTAGGTGTGTGACGTCCCCTCCAAATACTATTCTCTGAGCTTATAGCTCCTCACAATTATTTAGTTTTAAGCCTTTTTTGGATTATATTTTTGTAGTATGGCATCTTCCAAAGATTTTAAATATCATTGTGAACTGTACTGTGTTTATGGCAGGAAAGTGCCAAAAGGAAGTAATATTCAAGTAGGTGTTTTATTGTCTGGAAAAAGTGACATTTGTTAAGTTTTCAGAAGACTTCCCCATTTTTCCCTTATACTATAACCTCAACTTCAAACTGTATATGTTTGATCAACAAGAGGTGTTCCAGGAACTCATCCCTCATGCAGAATATTGGCTGCCTACACATGGGAATGGAGGACGACTATGTTATCATCCTCCTTCTGCTACATATGGTTTCATTTATTTTCCATCTTTTGTAGAATATTTGTGACTTTTTATTGATAAGTTTATTGAACAGTTTACCCAAAGCAACCATACATTAACACTAGAACTCCACCTTACAACACACCTAGAAAAACTCATGTGGTAAACTAAGGAACTCGGCACAATCCCCCATGCTTCCTTTCCTCAACAAAGCAGCTGAAGACTGTAGTTGTCAAGCAAATACATAAATACCTTTCATTCACTTACTTAGCATTACTTTCGGCTTGATGTTTCCTTTCTGAGAGATCATTGTTTTGGGAGGTGAGTGAGCCTAGTTTAGCTTGCAGCTGTTCAATCTGAGTGTTTTTTCGAGCCTCCAGTTCCCGTCGCATACGTTCAGTTTTCCTGTCTGCATCACTCTGAACCTGATGCAACATCAAAATAACTATGGTGTGCTCTTGGTGAATATCTACTTACTATGGTAATGTTTTCACTCACTGCAGGCTAGGTTCTTAATACATAGGTCCATGCTAATTTTACTACACTTTTACTGTAAAGCTGATATGATGCTAATCTTTTACTGTAAAGTAGACATGATATTAATCTTTAGCTGAAAAGTAGATATCATGCTAATCTTTTGTTGGAAAGTAGATATGGTGCTAATCTAATAATGTAAAGTAGATATTATGCTAGTCTTTTACTGTAAAGTAGATATGATACTATTATTTTACTGGAGAGTAAAATTATGTTAAAATGTATTGAAATGATGAAAGCATGCCAATCTTTTACTGGAAAGTACATATGATAACAATTCGTTTGCTGGAACGTACATATGATAACAATTCATTTGCTGGAAAGTACAAATAATTAAAATAATTTACTGGAAAGTATATGTGATGCTTATCTTTCACTGTAGATTAAGTATGAGGCTAATATTTTACTGGAAGGCAGATGCAATTCTATTATTTACCTGGAAGGTAGACAAGATGCAAATCTTTTATCATTAATGACAACTGTCTATACAGTACAAAGACCATGTTAAACAACAGCTAGAAGGAAGAAAACTGTATACTATTAATTTACTTAAGGAATTAAATTTGACATACATCTGCCGGCTGTTCCAGATGGAGGAAAAAATGCAATGATAAATTAAATATTTAATCTGTATTTTACAAAAACTTTCAACAATAAAAATCAGAAAATTATATGTAAAATTAAAAAAAATAAAGGTTATGCAAGATGTGATCAAAATTAAATCTCAAGAACAGAATGAGTAAATGCATTTAGGAATAAGAGAAGACTTCTAATGTCCAGAATTAATTGTATCCAGTTCTATCATGCCATGTTACAGTATAGTACAGTACTGTACAAAACAAGGCACCTTTAATAATTTCTCCTTTTCTTGACTGATCAGCTGTGCTTGTTTCTCGGTTGATGTGGCTACATGCTGGCTCATAGCATTCTGCAGCTGATGAACTTCTTCTGAAGTCTTGGCAAGAATTTGTTGTGTGTGGCTTAATTGCTGCCTGAGCTGTTGCTCCCGTTCTGCCGCCTCTCTCTCTTTAGCAGCTCCCTGGGCCTGTATGTTTCATTTAACATGTTTTACAAGAGAATTGAAAGTTTGAAAGCACCCAAATCGTATAGAAAGAACATTAATATAATAAAGGGCTATAACAGCATTACATAAAACAATGAAATCACTGGTAATTAATTTCATTACTAGAACTGAAGTTATTCACTAATAACACAACACACACACACACACACTCTCGTCCTCCTTTCCCAACATTATTCAACACATGTGGTACTCAAATTAAAATTATAATCCGCACAATCCTGTACCTCCAATAACACTTACTAAGGAACTTTTGTTTCATTTACTTGTAATAATGATACAATACTAAAATCTTTCCACATATATTAAGTACTGAACAGTATTTCATGAGCCAATACACATTTCAGCCACTCACTACTTTCTCATTACTGAGAACAATGATAGTCACTGTATCCATTCATATTCACATTCACTCAATATTCAGTAATAATACTTGAATGCCATTTACAGTCCATTCTCACAATATTCCCTCCAGACTTTATCCAGTTTAAAACATATTTTCATAATAATTGGATAATGCAGATACTGCCCAGCAATTTTAGCTAATTTTTGTGTTTCATAGTATTTATCAGCAGAAAACAGAAGTTTATCTATATATATATTTCATAGGATAACAATTACCAACTTTACCTTTAGAGCCTTACAGCAGTCTGCCAGATAACTTAGCTTGAGTTGTGTGGGAGCAGGCACAAGTGCCAGTGCCAAATGACACAAATGTTTAAATACATTAACTTCTACAACTTCCAGTGTAGCACTTCCTTCACTCTCATTAGAACAACGCAAAACCAGTATAAATCTGAAAAGAGAAAACATATATACTGCATCTAAAAAAAATCTGCTATTACATAATTATACAAACATTATTTTCCCAAGTGATGAGCAGCAAACATAATATCACTGTCATATGAATGGCAGTTGTTTAATGATAATAAAACACACTAATAAAATAAAAAAAAATTGCTGTTTTATCCTATCTAGGAAAAGTTACAAACTGGATTAAATATACCGAAAATGTTCTCTCTGTTCATGGATTGTGTGTTTAAGGAGCTAGCTGGCTCATTAACGTGCCTGTTTTCATGGCAAACATTTACCTAGCACTATGTAACCCTAGCATTATTTTGCATTTCATAGCTATTTATCACCCTTTTTGGGAAGTTTTCTTTTAGCAAATGGTACATATGCATCTTTGAGAATATTTAGACAAATAATATAGTGCAAATAAAGATTGCATTATAGATATGCAAAATAAAGATATGCAACAGTATGTATTTTCCTGTTGATGAGTGTTTCAAATACAGTATTATAATGAATTTAAAATTGCATAATTGAGTATATGAAATGAAATGTTTAATATGTAGTATACTAAAAGTTGAAAGGTAAAATATAAGAACAAAAGTAACTGCAGAAGGCCTATTGGCCCATACGAGGCAGCTCCTGTTTATAACCACCCAATCCCACTCAAAGTAAGAGTTTCTTAGAGAATAAAGATGCCAGTTTTGTAAAAAAAAAAAAAAAAAAAAAAAAATTAAATATGAGGCTCAGGATGCAACACTATTTAAAATAAGTCTACAAAACCTTCCATATTTTTCAAGCCTTAAGAAACAGCCATAGGCTTAACAACAAAAATTAATAAGAAGACAAATGACATTGGCTTATTTAGTTTTTTATCAAGAGCACTGGTAATGATTACAGATTACAGTTAAAGTAGATGGGCTAAAAAATTAATACCTAGCTAAAAGTGTACAAAACATGAATTTTTGCCTTTATAACTTACCTAGGAGAGTCTTTTACTTGTTCGTTGTTGCAAGAGTTAATTAGCTCTACAAATTTGTAAGGAAATGCATTAAAGTCAACCAGTAAGCCTTGAGTTTGGCGAAGGTTACAGTAGTCATCTTCACGAACAACACACGTGTACAGAACAAATGGGTCATGATCGTCTGTAAGCCTCACCAGTAATTCCTGTAAGTTACCTTCATTAATAGCAAACATGCCTGTATTTTATATATTAATCAATATCTATCAACACTTCATGCTATCAGCATCTGAATGAATTTTTTTTAATGTTAACACAGCATGCTAGGTAAAACAAATTATTTATATTCAAAACATCTAAATAAAGTAGACCTGATGTTACACAAATTTCTGTGATGTTATTTTAACTTTCTTTTGTGAGTAAACATTAAACTAAAATTATATCAATTTGATATAAGCCATTACCCTAGAGTAAGTACAATACTGTCCAAGGAAAACTCATCATACTGTACTTTCATTATATACACAGGCAATGTATCTTGTGTCGTCCGTCTCAGCGACCAAATGGCAAAGCTGGTTGTTCAATACTGCAAACTTCAGCTTCAAATTCTTTTCAATGTATCAGAATGGAGAAATGTCACAAGTGGAGTACCACAGGGTTCAGTTCTTGCACCAGTGATGTTTATTGTGTACATAAATGATCTACCAGTTGGTATACAGAATTATATGAACATGTTTGCTGATGATGCTAAGATAATAGGAAGGATAAGAAATTTAGATGATTGTCATGCCCTTCAAGAAGACCTGGACAAAATAAGTAGATGGAGCACCACTTGGCAAATGGAATTTAATGTTAATAAATGTTATGTTATGGAATGTGGAATAGGAGAACATAGACCCCCACACAACCTATATATTATGTGAGAAATCTTTAAAGAATTCTGATAGAGAAAGAGATCTAGGGGTGGTTCTAGATAGAAAACTATCACCTGAGGACCACATAAAGAATATTGTGCAAGGAGCCTATGCTATGCTTTCTAACTTCAGAATTGCATTTAAATACATGGATGGCGATATACTAAAGAAATTGTTCATGACTTTTGTTAGGCCAAAGCTAGAATATGCAGCTGTTGTGTGGTGCCCATATCTTAAGAAGCACATCAACAAACTGGAAAAGGTGCAAAGACATGCTACTAAGTGGCTCCCAGAACTGAAGGGCAAGAGCTACGAGGAGAGGTTAGAAGCATTAAACATGCCAAAACTAGAAGACAGAAGAAAAAGAGGTGATATGATCACTACATACAAAATACTAACAGGAATTGATAAAATCGACAGGGAAGATTTCCTGAGACCTGGCACTTCAAGAACAAGAGGTCATAGATTTAAACTAGCTAAACACAGATGCCGAAGAAATATAAGAAAATTCACCTTCGCAAATAGAGTGGTAGACGGTTGGAACAAGTTAGGGGAGAAGGTGGTGGAGGCCAAGACCGTCAGTAGTTTCAAAGCGTTATATGACAAAGAGTGCTGGGAAGACGGGACACCACGAGCGTAGCTCTCATCCTGTAACTACACTTAGGTAATTACACTTAGGTAATTACAGGCACATAAAGATCTTCAATAATGTATAAGGTGTACTACTGTACTAGCAAGATGTACCTTTGAGGGAGAAGGCAGCTTAGCCTTTATCTCTACCAACAATTTTAAAGTTCGTGTAGTGGCTGCAGCTAAGGAGGTACTAGCCTCCGCTACTCGCACCACTACCTCCCCATTTGATAAGACGTCACTGGTATTACTTCTACATGCCTCCATTATGTTCCTCCTGAAATGAAAGTAATGAAAGAAATGAAAGTCTTAAGAAAAAAGACTGGAAAAAGTAAAGATATTGGTACTTTATATGGCTAGTCAGAATCTCTGTATGTATTTACTTTGAAAAGTTATGCACATACACTGTAAGTAACACACAATGCAGTTCAAACAGAAGACAGCCTTGGGTTTAATAGTTTATAAAATACATAATGAACAGAATAAATTTATAAATAAGGCACGGCTCTCATGGTTAAATACTACTGTATAACATGTAGAAAAAACTAAAGTTTCAGTTACATGGTCAACACAAATAAGATAAGTAACCAAGGTAAGAATATTTGTTTATTGTACTGTATGTGAAATAGTATGGCACCTAATGGGAAGTGCCAAAATCAATACAATTACTATAAAGAACTCACTTTGAGAAAGTTATGGTAGTGAATTTTAGGGGGTTCCCAGACTTTTATTGTATGTTAGGGATTACCCTCCCATTTGGTAGCTTGTGTCTGATCTCCTGTCCTAAACGGCCATCTTCATAGTTTTGCACTTAGTCATTTACTGGAGTTTAAATTTAGTTGCCACCTTTTAAGCCATTCTTTCACTTATCAAAGGTTCTCCTGTGACTTCATACTATCTTCCTACATGGCTATGCTCCTCATAATGGGGATTTAGTAATAATGTCTTACTATTTTAATACCTCTTTCCTCACCAAGACTGTTTTATTTTAAGTGCAAACACTGTACTCCCTTATCCACTGTAGCATTTTCTGTCACTTTGCCTGCTTCTCCAGTCCAGTTTCTGCACTACTAAAGTCTAATGTTAGGCATTGTAGGGTAATTATCAGGTGAAAGAGCTAGCTTTTATCTCATATAAGACAGCTATAAATATACTGCACTTGATAGGTAAATAAGGACAGACTGATGTAACGGTACTCACCACTTGGACCATCGGGGATTAAACACAGTCTTTGCAAGAAGCGAGGTCGTCACTCTACTGACCAGTCCAAGTATTCACCTCAACCCCCTGCTTGAGGGGGTTAAGCTCTGTCTTTTTTGACCTGCCCCTCAACTTTCAATCAATCAACTTTTTTTTGTGCTACTGTTTCAAAGACCTTTCTGATAAGACTAAAAATATGCAGACTATCCATCCTTCTAATTCCAAGGGAAGATTGACAGCAGTTTAAAGGTTTGTCACATCTTGCTTGATAGCTTAGCACTTATGAATGATGGATATTTCCTGATGGGACAGAAAGCCTGTTCATTGCTTCTTGAAGTCCTTGTAACTAATGACAAGGTTTTGTCTACATGATCAATCCAGCAACTGGCCAGACACATTGATGAATAACATGACAAAACAAGTGACATACATTACACAAAAACTACATTTGTTGAAAAACATTTCACTATGGTATCTTTTATTGTACTTAAGCACTATTTGTTTTATTTAAATACACTAGACAGGCCTATAAATTAATATTTTAATTGAGCTAAGCACTTCCACCACTGTTTAAAGTTCATCCACTAATGATGTTCGACTGTGACTCACTACAGATGGCTGTCACCTCGTACACAAGTAGATACAATAGATTTTAAACCTACCCAACCAAACCCAGCCTAACCTAACAATAAATACAGTGTTAACAATTAGAAAAAGGAGTTTTGTACCGTACCTATCACTATGCTTGATGTCAAAGGCAATCGCACCACGTCTGACTACTACTGTATTTCCTTTTTTTTTGCTAGGCCTAGCCATACTTGTCTGGGCTTTCTGTACAAGGTTAAAGTATGTTACGTTTAGTTATGATTAAGAGGTTAGGTATGGATACGACAGGATGGTTAGTTCTAGTTAAACAGGAGCGAAATATTACCAATCCTCTAATTACTCTACGTCGTCCTCTATGTCCTCTAATTACTCAACACAAAGCTGCTATTAGGACAATATCCAACTCTGGCCCCAGACATCTTGAGATGATTTTGGGGCTTTAGTGTCCCCGTGGCCCGGTCCTCGACCAGGCCTCCACCCCCAGGAAGCAGCCCGTGACAGCTAACACCCAGGTACCAATTTTACTGCTAGGTAACAAGGGCATAAGGTGAAAGAAACTCTGCCCACTGTTTCTCGCCGGCGCCCGGGATTGAACCCAGGCGCCACTAACTCAGTTCCCTTACTCAGATCTCTCAAAATGCACTTCCTCTCATGTGTATTATATATAAATAAAACACTGAACTGTAATGTCAATCCTGACCTTAAAAGCTTCCAAGAAGGTTGTAACAGAATCCATGAGCACCACACCAGAAGCAAATACCTATTTGATATTCCAAGAGTACGACTTAATCAAACTAGAAATGCTCTACAAATCAAGGGACCCAGAATGTGGAACGACCTTCCCAATTATGTTAAAGACTGTACCTCTCCCAACCAGTTAAGATAAAAACTAAGCACTACCTAATTAACTCCCTGTAACCTACCTTACCCCTTAATGTCAACCCATGTCTGCTATTTTAAACAATGCTGTTTGTCGACCAAATTGTATATTTGCTATTTTTCTGCCATATTCCCCCCTTTTTTATTTTTATATTTTCTCAACACAATTTATACTTTAATCTCAATTAGTATTAAGTTTTAGTCTTTAATGTTTTTCCTGCCCGAAACGCTTTGCAAAGCGTAATAGTGGCTTTAGGCACTGTATGCACTAGCTCTATCTATAAATCCATCAATGTTTGTATCACACCTTGTATGCATGTACTTTACCTGAATAAACAATATTTTGGTGAATAATTGGCATTCCTGCAAAGCAAGAAACACCCACAGCGTTTCGGGTAATACGCTGCAGTGATGACCCCATCTGTCACTACAATGAACAAAGCGAACTATTTGGTGGTTACCCACCATGTACACTGATATTACCAGCTACGGTGAATCACGGGTCCTTCATTGTAAGGGGCAGCACCAGAGGACTGGAGACTTCACTCGTGTTTATGTTTTAAAAACCTGAGGCGGAGGAAGCGGGGTTAAACTCATTTGGATCAGAGGGTAAAATTTATATAAATAATAAATAAATAAATGTTTATTCAGGTAAAGTACATATATACAAGAGGTTTTACAAAAAATGATAGATTTATAGATAGAGCTAGTACATACAATGTCTAAAGCCACTATTACGCAAAGTGTTTCGGGCAGAAGATTAACCAAGATTAGCCTTTATAACTCCCACTGTCCTATGCTTACGAAACAAGTCACAACCAAAAGGCTTAACAATCCTTGGCTTACAAAGGGAATACTTAAATCCATTAATAAAAAACATGACCTTGAGAAGAAGTACAGGTTAGGAACCGTCTCCAAAGAATTCTCAAAGAATTACTCGTTATTGCTATCTAAAATAATTAGACGAGCCAAAACTAAATACTACGAGGATAAATTTACCCAAATAAAGAGCAAGATTAAAAAAACTTGGAGCACAATTTCACAAATATTGGGATCTAAGAAGATTCTAAATAAACCAACACTCCTGTCCAATAAAGATGGTCAGCTTTCAGCCTCTGATTCTGCTATCGAGTTCAATAGGTTCTTCTCCATTGGGTCATCCCTTGCAAATGATATTCCATCTTCCAGTACTGATGTTAAGGACTATCTTACAGGTAACTATCCACAGTCTCTGTACCTAAAGCCTATTAATTCCACTGACGTTAATGAGATAATCCTTTCCCTTAAAACCAAGTCTAGTGCCCTTGAGGAGATACCAACTTTAATTTACAAAAAAGCCTCCAGATCTTTAGCTCCTGCTATTGCATTGCTCTTCAACAAGTCACTTGAACTCCAAACCTTTCCAGATATTCTAAAAAAAACGAGAGTAACCCCTGTCCACAAATGTGGTGATCTCACAGATGTTAACAACTACAGACCTATATCAATCCTGCCTAACTTATCAAATATATTTGAAAAACTAATCTACAAGCAACTTTACTCCTATCTAGCCAAACACAATATACTTAGCTCTTGTCAATATGGCTTCAGACCCAAAAAAACACTAACGATGCACTTATTAGTATGATTAACTTGATTCATGCGGCTCTTGATAAAAATGAGTTCCCTGTTGGGTTATTTGTGGACCTGCGTAAGGCTTTTGACACTGTCAACCACCAAAACCTTCTTCTTAAATTACATCATTATGGGGTCAAAGGACACTCCCTGCAATACCTCAAATCTTACCTTACTGACAGGCTCCAGTATGTTTCTGTGAATAATTCAATTTCTCCCACCCTACCCATCAACATCAGTGTTCCTCAGGGCAGAATACTTGGCCCTCTCCTCTTTCTCCTCTACATTAATGACCTTCCAAATGCCTCCCAACACCTCAAACCAATTCTATTTGCTGACGACACAACCTTCATTTACTCCAGTCCTGACCCCCTTGCTCTAAATGCCACAGTAAATACTGAGTTAAATAAAGTCCATCTTTGGCTAACGGCCAACAAACTCACCCTTAATATTGACAAAACTTTCTATATTCTGTTTGGCAATAAATCCTCTAATCAAATAAATCTCAGAATAAACAATACCCAAATTTGTAACAAATTAGATGGCAAATTCTCATTGACCACAATCTGAATTTCCAGGGACACATTCTAAATATATAAAAAAAGTTTCAAAAACTGTTGGGATTCTTTCTAAGATCAGGTATTATGTACCCCGCCATGCCCTGGTGACGCTCTATTACTCCCTCATCTATCCATATCTCAACTATGGTATTTGTGCTTGGGGTTCTACTACCCAAAATCATTTACGTCCTCTAATTACTCAACACAAAGCTGCTATTAGGACAATATCCAACTCTGTCCCCCAGACATCACTTGGTACCCCTACTCAAATCTCTAAATATGTTAGATATTAAGTCACTGCACATCCTCTCATGTGTATTATACATATATAAAACGCTGAACTGTAATGCCAATCCTGACCTCAAAACCTTCTTTGAAGGTTGTAACAGATCCCATGAGCGCCACACCAGAAATAAATTCAGTTTTGATATTCCAAGAGTACGACTTAATCAAATTAGAAATGCTCTACAAATCAAGGGACCCAGAATGTGGAATGACCTTCCCAACCATGTTAAAGACTGTACCTCTCTCAACCAGTTTAAGATAAAAGCGAAGCACTACCTAATAAATTCCCTGTAACCTACCTTACCCCCCTATTGTCAACCCATGTCTGTTTTCTTAAACAACGCTGTTTGTCGACCTAATTGTATTTGTGCTGCGTGTTCAGCCATGTTTCCCCCTTTTTTATCTTTATTTTTATCTGTTCTCAATACATTTTATTCTTTATACTCAATTAGTATTAAGTTTTAGTCATTAATGTTTTTCCTGCCCGAAACGCTTTGTGTAATAGTGGCTTTAGGCATTGTATGTACTAGCTCCATCTATAAATTGATCAAATTATGTAAAATCTCTTGTATGTACCTTACTTGAATAAACATTTTTTTTTATTAACCAAGATTTCGGGCATATCTACCTGAATTTACCTGAAGGCCACTAAGACCCTTTTGAGGCCTCGACAACAACAAGCATACTACATAATTTACACTCCTTATCTTTTTCACTGACATCAACACCGTATTGCCAGATATATTTGTTTCCTAATCTTAATCTCATGTAAATATAATCCTTCCAAGTAGACTTTCCTCTACCATAGGTGAAGGACGAATTTGTATTTATTATTGAATAATTGTTAAGTGTGTTACTACTGTTCACCATTGCCATTCTCTTTACCATTTCTTCACCCTCTTGGATCATCTTGATTCTTGTTTTTATTTACTTCAAGGTAACTGACATACAACATCAACAAGAGTTTTTTCCGTGGCTCTCTTCGCTATCTCATCAACTACCTCATTCAACAGTATTCCCACTTCACAGATGGATCAGTAGACCAGCAGGGACAAGAAACGGGAGCTGCATTCAGGGTTGTCAGTCTAAATTGCTGAAAGTAGCGAGCTGACGGTCTAAAAGTAGCGAATTTGTAATCAGAGTAGCCCAATTTTTTTAGTGAATGATATGGGTTTCAAAGTAATATATTTTTTGATATATAGAGTACACTACACGATGTTAATTGTTTTATTAATGTTATTTCTGCACATACACACACACACAAATTATATATATATATATATATATATATATATATATATATATATATATATATATATATATATATATATATATATATATATATATATATATATATATATATATATATATATATATATATATATATATATATATATATATTGATTTTTTGCCGCCAGAGGTGGATAGTTCATTAAGCATCCCCTATTCAACCAGTGAGTGGTGGTTTATTGTGTTCCCCGAACCCCGACCAGTTGTGTAAGCGGACCCCGACCAGTTGTGTAAGCGGATCCCGACCAGTTGTGTAAGCGGACCCCGACCAGTTGTGTAAGCGGACCCCGACCAGTTGTGTAAGCGGACCCCGACCAGTTGTGTAAGCGGACCCCGACCAGTCGTGTAAGCGGACCCCGACCAGTTGTGTAACTGCAAGCCTAGCATGAACGAACCGACAATAAACATACTTGAACTTGAAGTGGACTTTAATGTTTTTTCGGCAGCTTTATTTCCTTAGTTTCCGAACTGTTTTCTTTACCGTGTATGTTGTAATAAACTATTCTTATATTTACAGTTGTTTCTCCCTGTGAAGATTATTAAACAATGGTGATTATAAGGGCGCGGAAGTTCAGCCTGGCCAGGGCCGCCAGCAGCCCTTGGGCCCGCCCCGGCAGCACCCAGTCTTTAATTTGGCACCTTTGTGGGACCTTGGTATAAGCCTAACATGTATATATACACTGGCTGCCTGTCCCCCTACACAATGATTTATTATTACCTATTATTTTATCGTTTAATTTAAATATTAAAATAAAATAATTTATTTAATTATTATAGTAAGTACTTAATAATTTAATAATAAGTAGTAAGTACATAAAAATGATTAAAAAGTACAGTTTAGTCATAGGAGATTCCTAGATTGGAATTCACTACCAAATTTCAATATATCCAAGTATTTTTAGTGTGAAATGTTGTTATAATATGCATAAATTGTTGTTTTAACAATAATACACGTAACCACTTGGGCTGGACGGTAGAGCGACGGCCTCGTTTCCTACAGGTCCGCGTTCAATCCCCGACCGCCCAAGAGGTTGGGCACCATTCCTTTCCCCCGTTCCATCTCAAATCCGTATCCTGACCCCTTCTGAGTGCTATATAGTCGTAATGGCTTGGCGCTTTCACATGATAGTTCCCCCACCCCCCTGAATAATATTACGAGAGCAGTATTTACGGGCTATTCATGCCCGTGCCACCTCTTGGGTGGCTTAATCTTCATCAATCGAGAGCAGTACGTCCTAACCAGACGTTATATGATGATATCCTGAACAGTTGATAAATAAAAGTAATTGCGGAACTCCAATTATCTAATACTTATTATAAATGGTATAAAACCTCATCATAAGCCAAGGGATTTGTAGATCAGTGTTTAAAGGGAATTCGGAAGTAATAATAACACAGCTGATGCCATCTGTCGGCAGATAAGAACACTATCAACTGGCAGGTTAATAGTAGTCATAAGATACAGCTTACGCCATCTGTTGACATCAAATTACACCTATAACAAATTACCCCACAAAATACTACTAGCGCCATCTCTTTTTTTTCCAACGCACTATAAATAGCCAAACAGCAACCCATAAGGTGGGTTGTTGTGCTCGGGTAGGAGGTTCCAAGCTCCGCCCACAAGTGGTATGGGGTGCATAATCAATGGCATATCATTTAGAAACTCTTTGTTGACATTCACACAACAGCCAATCACAGGAAGGGAT